GCCCTTATAACAAGAAAAGCTCTCTTTTTTATCCAAGAAATGTGTCTTTCTAGGCTACAGTTCTTTACATAAAGGTCGTGTCTATATTTCTAGAGACATCATATTTGATGAGAACGTTTTTTCGTTCAAGAGAGCCTCACCCAGTTCTTCCCCAACCTTGCAGCCAAAGCACAATGCCCCTGATTTGTACACCTTAAATTTGGGTAACAACATTACTAATTTGGAGAATTATCATATGCATATATATGTGCCTACAAACTCTTTGGATGCAGAAAATATTGTGCCCACATCAGCTTCAGGATTACCGTCGCAATCCTCCACATCGCTTCCGCGCAAATTGGCATCGGTTGTTCTGCCAATGATTGAGGCATCGAATCCTCTGCCAGCAGATGGTATTGTGCAATGCCCGATCGGATCCTTGGCCGCTGATTGACCGACTACTGTAGCACTGGTTGCTCCCCTCACAACGGCTGGTACGGCTGTCTCCTCAGTTGTGGATCCTGCACCTACTACTCATCCGTATGGTACTCGATTAAGGCACAATATCAAGCAAACCAAGGTGCGTACAGATGGAACAGTAACATATTCTGTGGTTCGGTCTTCTACCTCTGAACCTACTTCACATATTACTGCTATGTAGTATCCCCTCTAGCGTTAAGCAATGAATGATAAATTTCAGGCACTTCTAAAAAATAAGACATGACACTTAGTTCCTCCTCGTGTTGGTCTTAACGTTATTGATTGCAAATGAGTTTTCAAACTCAAGCAAAAGTCAGATGACTCTATTGATCGCTACAAAGCACACCTAGTTGCTAAAGGGTTTAAACAACAGTATGATGTTGATTATGATGATACATTTAGTCCAGTTGTTAAGCCCACTACCGTTCAGCTCTTATTATCTCTTGCTATTTCTCGTGGTTGGGCTATTCGGCAGATTGATATTCAAAATGCTTTTCTTTGTGGTTTTCTTAATGAAGATGTTTGTAAGAAGCAACCCCATGGATTTGTGGATTGTGGATTCTCAACATCCTGGTTATCTCTACAAGCTGGATAAGTCGTTTTAGGGCTTCAAACAAGCTCCACGTGCCTGGTTTCTCGCCTTAGCTCCAAACTATTACAGCTGGATTTTACACCTTCAAAGGCTGATGACTCTCTTTTCATTTTTAACAAGACGGACATTCGAATGTATATCCTCATCTATGTTGATGACATTATTATCATCGGCTCATCTTCTACGGCTACGAGAAACTTCTTACATAGCTTTGGGATGATTTTGCCGTCAAGGATCTTGGCACTTAGAGTTATTTTCTTGGGATTGAGGTCCGTCATACTTCCAATGGAGTTGTTCTGACATAACATAAATACAATCATGATTTATTCTCCAAAACCAATATGCTCACCTCCAAAGGTTTGCTCACACCTATGCTCCCTAGTGAGAAGTTGTTATTGGATGGTGGTGAAAAGCTCTCGCCTAATGATACTACTCGCTATCAAAGTGTTGTTGGTGCTCTCCAATATTTGTCTTTGACACGTCCTGATATATCCTTCTGTGTCAATAGAGTGTGTCAGTTCCTGTCCTCCTTGACTTCTGTACATTGGGCGGCGGTCAAATGAATTCTCCATTATCTACATGACACTATTGATATGGGCTTGTGTCTTAGAAAGTCCATGTAACGACCCTAAATTTCCACATACTCAAAGTCGCTACTAACGTCTCATGCTCATCTATAATGCGGAAATATAACTCTTACATGAACATAATTGATAACGTAAATTTCAAAAAACGTTTAAAACAACTTCTTCTTTGGAAAACACAGCCATGATCTTACGTGTTTAAATATGAAATACTGAAATTTAGAGAAAACGAAAACAAATACAAAATAATTTAAAAAAATGGAATGCAAAACAACCTATTCTAACTTAAGACTAGAAATTTAAATATGAGTCTACCCTATGCACGTGCCACAGTCTCTGCTCGCGATGCCACTGTCCTCCGTACAAGTGCGTCTTGCCTTTACCTGAAAAATGATGTAGCACACGGGCTGAGTATTTCAAAGAATACTCAGTAAGTGGCCCCTACTATAGGGGGCCATGCAAATGCAAACACATGCAATCATGATTTAGGGACCTATCTCTAATCATCTTAGGGGTGGCCTCCAGTCTCGGATAAATTGGATGTGTAGTACTTCCCTGCACACGACTCACACGTACGAGTGTGAATCCCTAGGACGCTCACACACCCCCTGGACCCTGTCAAGCTAATCTGTAGCGACGTCTGAAGGTCAGCGGAACCCCATAGTGTCATGCGCCTCATGAACACCCTCATCTGTGTGCATTCGCACCTGTGCGCATTCGCGCTCATCATATGGTGCGCGTTTGCACTCATCATCTCTAGGGGAAGTAGCCCTATGCTTATGAACATATAATATGCATGAGGTCCCTCTAAATCCATCATAATGTCTCTTCTGACACAACCCTCTAGTCTCATCTCTTTGTTACTCTAGGTAACACATACTCGTGGATATTTATATTAATATCATTTTCGCGCTCTTAGGGTTGTGTCCTATGTCGATCTAACGACATGATGCAATATGGCACTCATCATCATATAACATGCTCAAAATGGAAAACATCATCATATTAAGGTAAACGTCACGTAATCATCATACTCATCATATTACCGCAAAGTGCATCAAACATATCAAGTACGACATTCATAAAAAAAAAATATATATATACTGAGCACATCATCAGGTAGCATAACCCACACATCATCATAAGTCATACATCATCATAACTCATATACCGCATCGTACGACATAATTCATACAACATCGTAACTCATACAATTTTTTAGCCTATCCTATAGTAAGGGCACTTACTTGGTTGGCCTTAGCCGAAGTATTCCCTAATTTAATTAACGTAAGCTCCCGTTCCTCGAGAGCTGCTCCAAAGGTTGCTAGAGTTCGCTTCATATCGAACCGTTCGTCACCTTTCGTTAGCATTTCACATTTTAATTAATAATCCAACTAACAATGTGAAATACAGCTCTAAAACGGTCTCAGTAAAAAAAATCGAATTCCACGTTTTCATTTTTCCTAAATTTTGGTTTGGTAGTAAAACTTAAATTGAAAATATGTCAATAGTATTTCATGGTGCTTCAATCATTCAATCCAAGTTTGTTATAATATTATATTCTTTTGGTACAAATAATAATAATTTCTCACATCTTCCATTTTCCTTCTCTCTGTTGTACACTTTTCTTTCTCCTCTCTATGTCTTCTTTTTCTTTCATATGAATGACTATGCAATTATAAAATAATATTAAATCAATTCTGTTTTCTTCCCCTGTCCAGTATGACTATCAATTAACAGAAGCCATTTTCAATCTTTTTTTTTCTTCTCTTTCCTAAAAAAAACTACTCTCATCTACCGAAGCCATTTTCTATTCTATTTTCTTCTCTTTCCTTTTTCAATCTATTATGTTTTTTTCTCTTTCCTAAAAACTGCCAGCTATTTTCATTCTATTCTGTTTTCTTCTCTCTCCCAAACACTATCCAATTCATTTTCAATCTATTTTAATTTTCCTCAGTAAAAATGTCTATGCATCCATCAATTATGATTTGCAATTCACAGATCTAAAAATCTAAATAATTGAAAAGGAGATCTAACTTACAGATTACTTTTCGGTCTCTTTCCATTCCTATTAAATCTACTTGAAGTGAAGGCTATCTCCAATTCTTCTCTCCCAAAATTTGTGATCTTTCCTTTGTTTCTTTTTTCTGATTTTTTTTTCCAGATCATTTTGTAGTTGTAGGATGTGTCGGGGAGATATCTGGGGAAGGTGGAGAGAGAGTGATAATTTTTTTTTTCATATCATTTTGTAGTTGTAGGATGTGTCGGGGAGATATCTGGGGAAGGTGGAGAGAGAGTGATAATTTACTTTTTTTTATTTATTTATTTATTTATTTATTTATTTATTATTATTTACTTATTATTATTATTATTATTATTTTTCAGGAGGTTACAGTCCAACACTGATTTGCTTAGTGCCTTCTTGGATGCTGATTGGGCTGGGAATTCTGATGACGGTCGAAGCACTTGAGGCTATGCGATCTTCTTTGGTGGCAATCTTATCTTCTGGAGTTCAATGAAACAATCGACAGTTTCTCGTTCTAGTACGGAGGCCGAATACTAGGCGGTTGTTGATGTCACTGCCGAATTAATCTGGATCCAAGTCCTCTTGCTTGAGCTCGGGATCTCGCAAGCGTGAGCGCCTAGCCTGTGGTGTGATAATATTGGTGTCACCTATCTGTTCGCCAATCCAATCTTTCATCGACAGATGAAGCATGTTGAGGTTGATTATCACTTCATTCGTGAACGAGTATCGACTTGTCAGCTTGATGTGCGACTCATATCTTTCAAGGATTAGCTCTCCAATATCATGACAAAGCCACTACTAGCTTAGTAGTACATCATAGAATAGATCATATCTATATATAATAAGATAATCTACTGATTTCATGGTAACAATCGACTTGTCGGCTTGATGTGCGACTCATATCTTTCAAGGATTAGCTCTCCAATATCATGACAAAGCCACTACTAGCTTAGTAGTACACCATAGAATAGATCATATCTATACATAATAAGATAATCTACTGATTTCGTGGTTTGTTACCATGATCATCTACTGATTTTCTAGTTTGTTGCCGTGTATTAGTATCAAGGCCTGGTTTGTTATATGATCAATGAGAATCTACTGATTTCCTAGTTTGTTACCTTAGATCAAGGCCCACCATGTAATCCTCTTATATACATCTATAAATACATGAGGTCAAGAGCCATATATCCCATTCAACCTAACCGATCTCACCATTTTTACATACTTTTATGCCATTTAAAATATTTGATGCCTAACATTAACATAAAAATCAATTTAAGCTAATGTTATGACAAATATGATAAATAAATGTTGAGAGGGAATCGGACGTTGCATGATTGGTTAAACAGAAATGCATGATTAGTTGGCAAACAGGCCTCGCATTGAGTTAAATACAATCGGCGGGCGGACGGGTAGAGGAGAGAGAGCTGCATTCCGGACGGCATCGGATAAACCGGAGGGCAAGGGCAACTGCAGGCAACGCAAATTTCTGGAAGATTTTTTAACCTAAACCGCCACAACGCGCCATTGGGGGTGATGGTATTGTACAGCATTAGATGCTCGCACGGCTGGAGTTTCTTTAGAGCCGTCAAGCCCACCCCCCTTTCTCTCAGAACGAGTATCCACAAGCCCCGCCTCTGCTCTAACATGCCAATACAAAACGGTTAGATTCCTTAAGAAGCTTGGACGCGATGATTTTGTGTGTACTGACTGTAAAGTCGGACCTAATTTTCATTTTCTTGTGTTTGTTTGTCTGAATGATAGTTTATGGAGGCTCAGTTCATCGAGTTTATGATGCATTGCTGTTGGATGCTGGAGGAACGTTATTGCAGTTGGCAAAGCCAGTTGAAGAGACTTACGCATCCATTGGATCCAAATATGGTGAGTTTTTTTTTTCTTAGTAGTTTCTACATCTTCACCTGAATTTTATGCTTAATTAGATAAACAATTTCCAGTTTTTTCTGGTGAATTGTCTATAATTCCTTACAGCAGTTTGTTTAAAAATAGATCTGAGTATTTTTTTAATCATAATTTTAATACTTCGAAAACTATAATTTGGTGTTTTATGTTTCAACTAGATGAAACTGGTAATAAATTGTTTGAACTTCAGCTTAGTTTCAAGTTAAGTTAGCAGCAGAGATGAAGTCTCTTTTGGGATGTGCATTGACTATTTAATAACTAACTCAAATCAGCTTATCCTAGACTTTACATGGTGGAGAACTCAAAAAATTCTAGTCACCCAATGTCTATCTGCTTCCTCTTCTATTTGGGATCTCAGCTTGTGATATCTCACATTGGCCGGTGAGAACGAAACACCTTTTATAAGGGTGTAGAAACCTTTCCCTAGTAGACGCGTTTTAAAAACCTTGAGAGAAAACCCAAAAAGGACAATATCTGCTAGCGGGGCATGGGCCGTTACACAGTTTTAGGAGAAATTCCTCTGATTTGGAGATTGAAAATTCTAGTTCACTCTTTTTATTTTTTTTATCAGAAAGATGTAAGAAATGGACCCTTGGAATGGATGGGGCCTTTTCCATTAGTTCTCTAGTTCAAAAGTTGAGTGAAAAGGACGAAGGCATTGGCAACTCCTTGGTTAATTTCATATGGAAATCTAAGGTCCCTAAAAAGGTTAAGGTCTTCTATTGATTTTTTCTCCTAGTTGGTGTCTTTTCTGCTAAAGGAATGTGAAAGACAGTCCAACTTCTTTTTTGCTCCTGCCCGTATGCTTCTTCATGCTAGAATGCTCTGAGTTGCAAAATGTTCTCAAAGGGGCGAGATAATGGGTGAGTCCATGGTTTTCTCTCTCTCTCTCTCTCGCAGTTTTGTTTTCCGAGACAATGGATTAGTCCATGGGCGAGACAAGTATAAACTATCTTGCTCTCAATTCTCCATTTGTTTTCAGGGAGATACATGCTCTTTTGTAATTCAAAAAGGCTAAAATTCTAGATGCTAAGTAAAATTAAATCTAGCTCAATCTCTAGATATTAGGTAACAATACAGATAAATAAATATCTAAATACTAGGTAACAATTTAGAAAATTAGGGAGGTCAACTATTTCCCTGATTTAAAATAATTACATAAATATCTCTTAACTTAAGAATAGAAATTACACAAATATTCCTTAAATTAAGGTCATTCCTTCCATACTCCCCTCAAGCTGATTATCTATTCTTACCTTGGACATTAACTCATGAAACATTGAGCTATGGAGTCATTTTGTTAGTATATTTGCAAGTTGAAGTTGTGAAGGCACATAATTAATACATTATCCCCTTCACTTTTTCCTTGGTAAAATGTCGATCAATTTCAATATGTTTTGTTCTATCATGCTGGATAGGATTATATGCACTATTGACAACTGATTTGTTGTTGTCGTATAACTTTATTGGATCTTCTCCCTTAATCCGTAAGTCATCAAGGGTTATCTTCAACCATAAGAGTTCACAGAGCTCTTATGTAATAACTTGGAATTTTGATTAGACAGATGATCTAGCCACCACATTTTGCTTTTTACTCATTCATGTTACCAAATTACTCCAAGAAAAGTACGTACTTCGTGGTAGTTCTTCTATCCACAATTGATCCAACATAGTCAGCATCGAAGCAAGCTTTCAATGTAAGAAAATTGTTCCGTTGAACAAAATTTCTTTTCTTAAAGTTCATTTTAGGTAACGTAACAATCTATATGCTGCTTGAAGGTGAGGTTCTCGTGGATCATGCATGATTTGGCTAATAATTACACTTATCGAGTATGCTATGTTTGGTCTAGTGTAAGCTAGATATATGAGCCTCCCCACTAGCCTCTGGAACATTTCTCTGTCCACTGCAAGTTCTTCTTTAGACTCACTCAATTTCTAACGTGGATCCATCGGCATTGGTGCAGGTTTACATCTACTTTCCCTTGTTTCCATCAATAAATCGATCACATATTTCTATTGTGATATGAAAATGTCCTGAGTTAAGTGCACTACTTCAATGTCAAGAAAGTACTTAAGTCTTCCAAGTTTTTTAATCTCGAATTCTTTCATCAAATTCCTTTTAAGTTCAATTTTTTCTTATTTATTATCTCCATTGACTATGATGTTATCTACAAATACTAGAAATATTGTAACTCCCCTTGATTTCGGATGCTTGATAAAGAGAATGTGATCTCTTTGATTTTGTTTATACCCACAATCTTTCATTACCATCGTGACACACGGCTTCGCACGCTCCTGTTATCAAGAGTGGTCTACACTCCATAACAATAGAATAACATTGAATGAGTATAAAAATACTTAGTAAGCAACCTACTTGTAGGCTCTTGTTGGACTTGATCCTATACACAGAAATTTAGGCTATGTGCTCATAACTGTCCCTAGCGATAGACAAATTGTGGCTTAACGTCTGTACCAAACTTTGTAGGTCATTGTGTAACTAACCTTCAATGCCTTTCTAGAGGCACAATCACAACGTGGATTGTGACACATAGCTTCGCACGCTCCTGCCATCAAAATTAGTCCACACTCCATCTTAAAAAAAAAAATAGAATAGCATGGAATGCGTATAAAAATATTCCGTAAGCAACCTACTTGTAGACTCTTGTCGGACTTAATCCTATACACAGAAACTTAGGCTATGTGCTCATAATTGTCCCTAGTGATAGCAAACTGTAGCTTAACGTCTGGACTACAAGGTTCACAATCTTGGGGTTTTATGTTTTTTCTTGGCTCTGGGTTTCACATATGTCTAGGTCCTTCGTTAGTCTTGCGCAAAGTGCACCTCGAGTCACTGTGGCCCTTGGAAAGACCTCAGAGTAATACTCATAAGTCTGGAAGAGCCCTTTTTGCTCTAAACGGTGACCATACTCCATACAGATACCTACTGAACTCTGATTAGTGAATTCTCTCTAGTGGTGCCAGACAACATCTACCTATTCCTAAGATCAGTAAATTACCTGTCACTATGCCCTTTCCAGGCGGGAACAATAAACTGCCTGCTCATGTACCCTCATGGGGTTAGAATAATAAAACTACCAGCCTTCGGAATAGTACTTGTTACTTTACCTTTTCAGGCTAGAATAGTAAAACTACCGGTCTGGAAGAGTAAAAATGTCATGGCTCTCCCCACTAGGCACCATCGATAAATACTTCAGTAGTACACCCTCTATGACTCCTTAAATCCTCTATGGGTGACAATTAAGCCATGTGTAAAAAGTAGACCCTAACCTCTTGTGGTTAGTTCACGAATAGGGGTTGTGCCCTATCCGTCCCTACAAGGGACCTGGTCAACCCAAGGAGTCTATGGAACTCATGACTAGGTGCTAGAACCAAAATACGTGAAACATTAACTCATAGTCTATGGAAACCATAACTAGCACTCTATGGCACATAGCGGTAGTCCAACTCATGACTGGGCAATAATCTATCCAAACCCTAAATCATGCATAATAAACGTATAAAGGCATACGACATGCTCGTCATGCTTATTAAGTGAGAATAATCCAACCTTAACATACTAGAAAGCATAGAAGCCTAATGATCTATCAGAGTTCACAATCATGCGTACGAAAGCTATATAACTGTAAATAGGACTAAGTGGTAACGGTTCACATTATCTAAGCACAATTATTATGAGACTAGGTCAAAATAGGCTCCTAAACATAATACTCAATCATTGTCCTCAATCCCAATTGACTCCTACAAGTATTTCTTGGAAACTTACTCCATATGGTTATTTACTTGATTGTAGACTTCCCGAGATTGTTTTGAGTCTTCGAGGATATTCTAAATTTCTTCAAAATTCTTCGATATGCCCTAAATTAAGTCAAAAGAATAAAATTGCTGAAAATGGCTAGCTTCAAATTCGTTAAAGAGAAGGTTGAGAAACTAACCATGGACTGTACGATCATCTTCTCCAACTTGCGTGCCATTTTGCTTTCCTTCCTTCTTTTTTATTTTAAAAAAAATCTTTTATTTATTTTCTTAAAATGCCAGGTGTTACATTTGGGATGTCAATGTTATCATGCTTTTTATCTATTGCTATTCAACTAGTTGTAAATCTCGATCTCCGTTGCATTTTAAAGTTTGCCGTTTTTACAGTAAATAACTTAGTCACCTGCTTCTGCCGTTCATCAATTATATGTTTCTTTGTTCTTCTAGTCGTTCTGATTACGTTGAATTTAGGTCTAGTAAGCACTCCTGCTGATATAAAGCAAGGATTTAAGAGGGCATTTTCTGGTCCATGGCCTCAAAAGCTTCGTTACCAGGTTCTTATTCTCTCTCTTGTTAGTTAGTTAAGTTGCACGCAGAGTCAAAGCAAGACTAAATTCTGCAGTTGTCTCTCTATATCTCTAAGTTTGAGGAAATGCATGACTTGCGTGATCTGCTAACTCATGTGTACAGAGAGTGTAGTGCTTGGTTGCTCTATATGTTTACGTGATCTACTATTGAACTAGAATATAGTTTAGTGAGGTCCTATCCACTATTTAGAGTTAGGTAGATGGATATTATCTCCCCCTGGCAAGGCTACAGGCCTCGTAATGCTACAAACGTTTTTCATTCAATGGCTAATAGGTTCCCCCTTCAGGGTTTAATGCCGTCAGACTGTTGAGGGGAGATATGGCTTGAAGCAACGAAGTTATGCTTGATTTATCTTGTTAGTTACCTGTTCGACCTTCTTGTCCAAAATGATTTTTTTTAATGATTCTCCTTCCTTAATTACATTGACCGAAGAATTCCTTTGCAATCTATGTTGACTTTGGGGCTTGTGCAGAATTTTTTTATGCACTGTTCCTTGGGGTTTTTTTATGCACTGTTCGACCTTCTTGTCCAAGATGATTTTTGTATTGTCCTATCATATACTGAAGGATGAATTTTTTTTTTTGTTAATATAAATTTTGGTTAAAATATCATTGTGATTCCTGAACTTTGGGACTTATTCTAGTTTAGTCATTGTACGTTTAAATGTTCAAATTTAGTCTGATACTTTTGATAGATCTTAAAATTAGTCCCTATGGTTTGTTTATGATGAGTAATAAATATAGTCCCTATTAGTTTTTCTCTATAAAATTTTGGAAGATATTCACTTTTTTTCTTCTCTGGAAGGATTTTTTTTATTTTACCAATTTTAAGGAATTAAATCCTTACATTACCAAAATGTGATTCTAACCTATATTATTTTTCTTACTTTTATCTAAAAAGTTGACAAGGAAACGTTTATATGAGCACATGGGGTAGATCTTATTGGACATAGTAATCTTCCATACCAAAAAACAAACAAAAGAAAAAATAAGAAAAAGCTCGCGTCAACCTTCAAAGTCTCTCTTCTTTCTCAGTCACTATATCTGAGAAACAATAATCGATCAGGTTTTATACTCATGATTTAAGATTTATTGAACTGTTTCATGTTCCTCTGTGTTCTCCATTCTTGCTATAAACCTTTACTATCCTCCCTATTTTTCAAAATAAGTATCATGACAGTTTGTTGTTTTTATCTTCCATAATAATTTCCTTAAGCTGATGCTTTATTGTGGAAAAAGCTACCCCATTGTTGGTTGTGTACTATATTGACAGGGAGATGGAAGGCCATTTTGGAAACTTGTCGTTTCAGAAGCCACTGGTTGTGCTGATGATAGTTACTTCGAAGATGTCTACCAGGTGATGTTTTATGAACAATCTTATCTAGTATTTATGTTACAACCTGATTTTCGAGCTTGCCCCAACATGGATTGCAATTGGGGTTGACTCAACGGTGTTAAGACGGTCAAATTTTTCGTAAATAAAAACAAAGGAAATTTAAAACATAATATACAAATATTTTAACTATATCAAAATAGAGTTTGTACATAGTTTTTAAATACAAAATAAGGAACGGGCACAAAATATTAAAACCAAAATGAAGTTCGAGGTTAGGGTGTGGCTTGTCTAGGGCACTTGCTCCAAAGTCCTCTCCCAACCTCGACCAGCCCCTTAGTTACTTGGAAAAATGGAGAACATGGAGTGAGTACAAAAATGTAGTAAGTAGCCTACTTGTAGGCTCTTAATCGCATTCTTACGATATGCAAGGGTACTATACTCTTTCTTGTCATGCTTTTGTTCTTGACCGAAAAATTTAGTTATTAGATCTTAGTTCTTGATCTTGATTCTTGTTCTTGTTTTTGTTCTTGGTTCTTGTCATTGGTTCTTGTCATTGGTTCTTATTCTTGTTCTTGTTCTATTCTTATTCTTGTTTCTATTCCCTCAGATGCTCCCTTAGGATTTACAGTACAAGACATGAACTTGACAACCTGTGTCCAAGGCTTCATGCGTTCCAAGCGACACAGTTTGAACCTATGTCCAACAGCTTCATTCGCTCTAAGCGACATAGTCTAAACCTATATCTAGGGCTTCATGCATTCCTTGCAATACAATCAACCTACACCCAAAGCTTCTTACGTTCCAAACTGCGTAGTCTTAAACCTTAAAGCGGCATAGTCTGAAGCCTACGCCCAAGGCTTCATATGTTCCAAGCGGCGTAGTCTGGAACCTGCATCCAAGGTTTCCTACGTTCTAAGCGATGTAGTCTGTAAACCTACATCCAAGTCTTCTTGCATTTCAAAGGATGTAATTTGGGTCGTGAACAGGTTGTCTAGAGATTTCTTGGGTTTCGGAGTCTTAGGACTTTGGTCCTTTGTTCTTTGCACCCAACATTCTTAGTGGAATTAGGGCTTATGTTGTACTTAAGTCAGGAACATTTCATGAATCATAAAGTCATAACATATTCCTTGAACATTCTAGAAAGATCGTGAATCTTGGTTAGGGAGTCATTAGGGGTAATCTTGTCTTTTTCCTTAAGCCTTAACTTATACCCTTAATTTGGTTAAGGTTCTAAATTTGATCCAAATATCTTGTAATCTTCGGGATAGCTTACTTAAAATCTTGAGTCAAGTGTTTGATCCTTGAAATACCTTAAAGGAACCTTAAGGGCATTTTGGGATTTACCACCTTAGACTTGGTTCAAGTTTCAAACGTGGTCCAATAGTTCTAAAACTTTGCATAATCCTTAAACATCATAAGGTCTCTTATAAAGTTTCATCACATTTGGAGATCATTTGGGTCATGAACCGAAGGTAGTTTACCCCTTGGGCATTATGGTCATTTTACATCGTTGCTTGGTTTAGCTACTTAACCTTCTCTCATGACCACCAAATTTCACACATAACTTTAATATGTCATACTATGCCTTACATTAATATGTCATGAGCAATTGAGTCCAATAAGTGGGTTATTTTAACATTACTGGATTCCCTTGCAAAACGCTTGGCTTGAGTCCTTAACTTACGGTTCTCGATATTTTTCTTCTATAATCCTTTAAATTTAACTTAATTTAGGGTTCATATTGATTTCCAAGCAATTCCTACACGTATTTCTTAAGAAAAGTCAAAGATGGCTACTTACCTCTTAATCGGTGTTTAAGGCTTCAATTCTTAAGCTTCCAGTATCCGATTTATTCCAAATTTTCTTTGATAGCTTTCTTATGGAGTTTAGTTTCCAGAACCATCAAGAATTTCATGAGAACCAGTCTGGAAGGGCGGTTAATTTTGAAAAAAAACCGAGAGGAGATCGAAATTTGGGCTGACATGGCCAATCCAGTTGAACCAATCACGTCATTGTTTTCTTCCCAAGGAAGAAGATGCACGTAGCGTGTCTCCGCCAACTAAAAATCCATCTTTCCAACTCATTCTAGAGTATTTTTCCCCTCGATTTCTTCATGAAACTTGGAGATGGAATATCAAGGAAGAGGTAGGGATTTGTTTCATACCTTGTGGTGCACGGTAGTGTGAGTTATAGCTCGCCAAAGTACGTCCAAAACTATTTTCTTCACCGGTGCAAACCCACAAAAATTTCTTGTTGGTTAGAATGATTGGGACACTTTCAAGCCACAATTTCTGAATAAAACCTCTTCCTTATACTCCCTTCAAGCTTAAGAAATTATATTGGAGGGATGACTTTGCGGAATCATGGTCAGTTTTGGAGTTCAACTTTCAGCCTGCAACTCAACCCAAAATTCAAAACTTGGTCCTCTTGAGTAGCTTGATTCAGGACAAGTTAGGTAGGAAATTCAAACTTACCCCCAAATCTTATCCGAGAACAATTTTCTTCAATTGGGCACGCTCCTAAGCTTGTTGGCCTTTAAGGTCTTCTATGAAAATGATTCATGATGGTGCAGAAACTAAATGGGATATGTCTCACTCGATGAATTTATGTGTAGCTTTGGATTGGATTTTTCAAGCTTTCCTTAAGCTTCTTAAATGGGGAACGTATGGGGCATATAGGTTAGAGGTACTTTCAATGCTCGATTTCTTCACCGAAGTTGTGGGTAATCTTGTTTAGAACATGTAGCAATAAGTTTGGAAATAATTGGTGGACTACAACTCTCGAACTTAGAAGAAATCCGAGAAAGGGAAATCCAAAATCTAAACTTTTACTTGTGATTAAAGACTCGATACTGCTTGATTTTTGTTTCTAATGATTGTCCCTATTTTATAATTTATAGAGGAAGCTTAAATTGATCTTGAAATGTCCAAAACTGCTATGTATTTGAGATCAAACTTTCTGCAAATTCTGCCGGAAATATCTTCTCCTAGCTCATCGACCTTCATTTTGAATTGTAGTCGTTGAATTTGTTGAGGTGTGTCACATATCCAAGTTTGGAGAAAATCCAACGGCTGGATTTCAAGATTTGATCGATTTTGTGCTGTCTGCCCACTGTTGTGTATCAGATTTTGTGATCCGTGGCTATTTCGTAAATATTTTGAGCTTCAGGGGTATTTTGGTAATTTTTCTTTACTATTTTTTGGTTGCTTTTTTCTTCTTTCTCCTTGAGCATCTTGAAATTTCTTCCCTAGGAGAAATTAAAAATCCGGTAAGTTTCCTAAAAAGTGGCAAAATTACCTTTTTGCCCTTTAAGCTTACATTTTCCTTTCCAATCCTTCTCCAAAGATCTTGGGTCCTTATGAAACCTTATTTGGGCATTAACATAACCTACATAGGTTCCCGAACCTTTCCTTAGGTCCTTCAGGCTTTCCTTTGGATACGTTAAAACCTTATTGGGTGCCTTAACCTATTTGGGGGTGCCAATCTTTATCGAGTAGAACATGATTTACATGGTTTGTTACAACCATGTGTGAGAGATCTATTTTCCAAAGGAAACCAAGAAAACTATTCTTTTGTTTGGCTCTTTCGTTGATTACTTTTCTTTATGTTTTCCATCATTAAAATGGTTCCTCTGTTTTGGCATTTGTTCAGTACTATGCAAATGGTGACGCCTGGCATCTTCCACCTGGAGCTTATGCAGCCCTGACCGTTTTGAAAGATGCTGGAGGTTAATGAATACCAAGTTTTTCCTTCACCTCCATTAATAACATTGAGATAGATGGAGAACTTTTGTGTATACTTAGTGTTTTTAATGCTATGGGATTTTTTGCACAGTAAAGGTGGCTGTTGTGTCCAACTTTGACACTCGCTTAAGGAAGCTGTTGAAGGATCTAAATGTGTTAGATATGTGAGCATGTTTCTCTTTACTTCTTCATGTCTGTTTAATGACTTCTACAAGTTCTGTGTAGGAAACAAGCTATCTTATCTCATGTCGCATATTAAAATTTCATCGTTCAGGTTTGATGCTGTCATAATTTCGGCAGAAGTTGGTTATGAAAAACCAGATGGACAAATATTTGAAGCTGCGTTAGGTACAGTACACATTAGTTATGGGAACCAACCAAGTTCTTAAATCTTTACGTGAGTTAATTTGTTCCCGTGTTTCATCGATAAGAACTTTGGTCCTCGAAACTAGTTCAATTTCAGTTAGTGTATGTATGGTTTGTGTTTGTAGAAAGATGAGGTTGGATGGTTTGTTGTAGATGAACTCGGAGTGGCAGCGAACAAAGCAGTACATGTTGGAGATGATCAGAAGGCAGACAAGGAGGGGGCAAATGGTGTCGGAATAGCTTGCTGGTAAGAGCATTGATTTCTGGTTCTGATTGATACTTGCCATTCCCTGGGATCTGATGGGCAATGAATGTGTGGTGTGTATAAGCAGGCTATGGGGAAAAGATGTGACGACCTTCCAGGACGTTCAAAACCGAATCCTCATTTGTTCTTGAAATGAGGAAATGGGTATGAATCTTGGCTGGTTTCTTTGGAACTCTTTATATTTGGTCTTTGTTGTTCATGATACGCAAAATTCTAATAGGGAATAAAGAGAACACTACAATCTATACTTGTTTGCATCAAGCTTAGGTTAAACTAGAATTCCAAGTACTATAATCGGGTAACATTTGTTCGTGAAACCTCTATTCATAGAGTATACTAAATTGTCCTAAATCATTGGTTTAAAATTAGTTATTAGTTAGATATTTAACCTTTTATGGAAGATAATACTAAAAAATATTGTTAAGCAATGAGTAGTTTCTTGTCTCTACTTCTATCAAACATTTTAATCTTTATTTTAATCAAAGATGGAAGGTTAAATTCATTTAAAAGAAAGAAATTTTTCTTTCATTGGAAATAAATTCCCTTGTGTGATGCGTGCAAATATGATAGAATCATTTTGGATTGGACCAAATACGGATCTCCGATAGAGATGAACGAAGATAGACAAGAAAAAAAATCGGAGGAAACACTTTTCTTCCAGAGAGGAATTGGTATTTTAATAACTTCAGTGGTTCTAGCATAATACAAATGAAAAGAAAAATGGGAAGGACATCATAACATAATGAGATACTAATCTTAAAAGAGGGGAATATGACGAAATCGATAGACACTACGGACTTAATTAGATTGAGCCTTGGTATGGAAACCTACTCGAGAAACCTTAGAATTAAAAATGAGCAATCCTGAGCCAAATCTTTTTTTAAATGGAGTTGACTACGTTGCGTTAGTAAAGGAATGAATTCTTCCAAAACTCCTTCCAAACTCCAGAAAAGATGATGACAAACTCGAATCTCTATTTTTTATATTAATATATAAAATATAATATATAAAAGTGAATGAATGGTTTTAAATTGATATTTTTTTTTTTTAGAAAAGAAATCTGAATATTCATTTTTACATATTTGACAAATGAATTCGAGAATATTAATAGACTCTAAAAGACAATAAGATAGAAAGTTTAATTTAGTGTAATTATTTGTCATTAGTCTTACATTGAAAAATTGTATCTTTGTATTTTATCTATAAATATGTCATTCATATTTATAGATAAAATGGAGTACATGGAACCTATATCAAGATTCATGACTTTGACTTATTTATCCATTATCATTTCTCATTACTACTTTGAGGACGGTAAGCTTTCAACTTTACCATTTAGTATGATAACATCACTTTCAATTGAATTTTTGTAAAAGTCGAGTCCTCTCATAGATCTCTAACTACAATGAGTTTTATCTAATTCATAACTAAAATTCATTTGACTCTCGAATGTAATAAAATTATTAATAACTTTAGTGAATTCACTTCCCTTAGTAATGTTTTAAGGTTTTTGATTTGACAATTTTTAACAGATAAATAATATTTGTCGTACAAATATCTTTTTTTTTTATTTTATGAATTTTTAAAATATATTTAACCTTTTTCGAATTTTTCAACATGTATGCTTAACAATCCAAAAAAATTGAAGTGTCGTAAACTAATTCCACAATTATTTCATAAACAGTATTGAAGGCAATAATGTTTGTTATGCAATCGACATTGCATATCCTAATAAGAATATGTGTGACCCTGTCTAACAAAGTCTTGTCTTCTCCTCTTACATCAGAATTTCATACTACGGTACTTAATTATAATTGGGAGACAATCCCAAATTCTATTAATTAATCATAGTATACCAGGTTTTCATACTATTATATGTATTTTATTGATTTTGAAGTTTAGTCTTATTATTTTTAAAACTTTAAGAAAAAAATTAGACTTTTATTGCATTGGATAAAAAATATTTATATCTCAAATAATCATCTATCAGAGTGATCAAATGTTTACAATGTTGTTTAGTTTTTATATTTACGAGGGTCAACATATATTTGTCCAAAGTGTTCTTTGACCTGTAACTTTATCCGGTAAAAGCCTAATGATTATCTTACATAAAAAACAAGACTTATACAGACAAGTAAGGTAACTAACCCAAACTTTTAACAAATTATTTTTTTTTATTCATCTTATCGTATAAATTTGTTAGTAGTAAAGTTTGAGAAGTTGATTTTTTTTTGTTGCAGATACTAAAAGTTCTATAGCATTAAATAGCAATCTACTCATAATGACATCTTAATGTCTCTCACTACACCTATTAAATTAGTTTTCTTGAGTTAATAAGTAGAAACTATTCTACCTGGTAACTATTTTTCAAAAATTACCTTTCAAATTTCAAATGCAATAAAAAAACAAATCTTTGTTTCAAGGTAATATTTATTCTCTAATTAAACTTACTTTCTAATTATATTTTCCAAACCATTATTTTTCGCTGAAATCATTTAAATAATTATCTAAATATAATTTCTATTGTACTTATATTTTATGATTTGACATTAACTAATTTTTTTAGATGTGCAAAACTTTATTCTATTGCAAATCAAATCTGTGGTTTTTAAATAATTTAATCAAATATTATACTAAATAACTCTTATTACTATAATATTTAGTTATCATTAGTTTGATTAGCGACCTCCTTAACAATCTTAATAAACATTTTGTACAAATGACTAATTATTTTAGATCTTGTAGTTCTATTCCTACCAGTATCATGTAGGGTAGATGAAATATTAGAAATAAAATTATTATCATATCGTTTCGCAATAATGTCCCACATAAACGCTTTTTGTATGGGAGGGTCTAAAAGCTGCTGCAAAACCCTACATGGATTGTTTTTTTTATCTCAAAAACAACCACAAGTCCACACATGAATTAATGATAGAGAACATTAGATATCTTGACACCTATTTTTCTCGAGCTAAATATTACTTAAATAAATAAAGCATATAGTCAATTTTTACTTTAAATTCACTACTTTTTAATCAACTATTAATTACAAAATTAATTTAATTAAGAGAGGATTTTTAATCCTATTTAAACCAAACCATTTCTATCACTTCAGAAATTTTTTTAAGCCTAATTTCAATATATATTTTATTTCATACCATAATCATTAAACCTACACTTTTAAAGAACAAACTCATAAGGGTCCATAATTATAACCAGGCTAAAAGTTTAGTTTACCATGGTATATTTTACACCTTTAAGTATTACAAACTCTCTAATAAACAATTTGCTTCTAATCCAACCATCAACTAAGTCCTTCTAAGTCCTTTTCGAGTTAGTGAAAAGGTGAAGCTTCATTGTTCAAGTCTCAAAATCACCATTTAAGATCAACATTTAAGGGAACTAACCCTCTACTTACCCTACCTGAGAAGGAGTGAATTTCATAAGGACAAGTCCTCCCAGACAAATGTTTATAACTCACTCAAAAATAAGATGTTCTCAGTTTCATCCTACAACTAGTGTCAAAGATTTCATTTAATTTTGNATTTTATTGATAGGATCCTAGAATATTGTCGTTATCATTGCTTTGTGTGTTTTTTTTTTTTTTTTAGATAAAAATAATAATATAATAATAATTATGTTAATAGAATTCTTAAGTGTCGAACAAAAAAAATTGTGAACCTCGAAAGTATATTCACAACAACTTAGGTGTCGAACAAAGAGTATGTCTTGCTCGAAGACTCCATAAAAGAAGTTAAGCTTCAATTAAGGGGAGAATGTTCGAGAACTCTAAAGAAAGAGAGACCTCTTGAGGCATTTAACTAAGAGATTTTAATATTTCTTATCTTAATTCAAACATTGTTTTTTTTAATTTTATATAATTTAACCTAATTAAAATTGTTTAAGGGTTACAAAAAAAAAAAAAAAAAAAAAGGGATGCCCACTTGATCATGATATATGTGATGACTACTACACTGTCATAATTACAAAAACGAAAAATTGAAATTACTCAAACCTCCAACCAATCTTAAACAACTTCGTCAATCAATATTTGGAGGTGGGAATGGTCTATGACGAAACAGTTTGGCTAGTGACCGCCGTTCACAGTCCTTCACAAAGTTCAACCAAAACAGGAAGAAAAAAAAGACGGTAAATTCATCCATTTCTTTAACAAAAACACAGTAAATTTATCAGTGAAAGTGAATTACCTTGAACATGTTTAAGTTGAATGGTACGTCTTGGTTTGTTCTCCAGAGTTTCAAGTAAGTATACGCAAAGCTCAATTGATCACGTGACGTAAATCGATCAACTTCATTGAACCAAAGACACGAAAATAAATTTGACATTGGTGTATGCGCTCGGACGATGAAGGAACCTTCCGGAACATCTGTGCATTGTAATAAATACAAACAATATTAAAAATAGTAAATGAAGAACTCCACAGTAAAATAATGCATTGTAACACTCACAACTCGGAAGAGGGGTGTTGGGATTAAGAGGGTCAAACTTAACAAGCCCATCGGACTGATAAAAGGCAAACTGTTCATCAATGGCAGTGTGATTGTACTTGTTCAGACGCTTGTTTTGTTGAACTTCCTCCCAAACACAGTGCCGATCATAGTGGTTTGAAATGGCATACTCCGACTTCTTTCGCCATAGAAAATATTCAATAATTAGCATTGGATCTATTTGAAGACGCATTTTGCTGTCCAGCCATATTGAATACCTTTGAAACAAGTATTTATGACTTAGAAATTTAAATCACTCCCCATTCATATAACACTAGTAGAAGCCGTGAGAATGAATTACCTTGCTGAAGGAAATAGCCGATGTGACAAAAATTTCGGCACCTTTCCAGTTCGGCGCATATCTTTGTATGGTAAATTTCGGACGACAACTATCTTCCACATTCCAATGTATCCCTTATCATCTCGAGTATTTCCCTCAGCTGATAGTTTTGATAGTGTTTGCTCATCCACAAACATGACAAAACAAACATTCTTCTTCGAGTATTCACTGATCTGTGGCAAATGGCAAGGGAAAAAACAATCCTGATATAATCTCTGTTAACAGATAATTAAGATGGAAAAATGAAAACTTTGTGCTACAATCCTATTTACAGTTCATATGTAATTTACGAACTTTTTGCTGAAAAAATGAAGAGAGCTATACAAACTCAAAAAACAAAAAGTAAATAAACAAATTAACGAGGAGATATATTTGGCAAAAGGTTTATAAGGAAGAGTGAGGCTTCGAGGCCAATGAAATCCCAAAAGGATAAACTAATGAAGAAAATCCTTCAAACTGGAGGAGGAAACCCACAAATCTTTGAATAAAGAGAGAGCTTGTGGCAACACTTTAGTGAATATGTGGATATAATCTCCATTCACATAGCAAAGGGGGAAAACCGCACCAGAAGAAGAGTCGA